TTTCCCCTTTCCAGGTGGCCAACTTGACAGACGATCTTTAAACAATCAGCAGTTCCACAGCCCTGCATATAAAAATGGGAAGGATATTCCAAATGTGAAAATATTTGAAAAGTCATTAATGGCATTATTTTCCTCATATACATACTTTATTGTCCTGCTTCCCTGGCAAAGCACCATAAACTATTCAAATATATTAAGTAACCCCCAATATTGACTAATTACTTATAGCATCCCATAAATGTGCATTCAGAAAAATATTATGTGAGCCACTTGGATCCCAAAGGTGGAACACCTGGCAGTAGCTTTAAGGTATGTACTTTATCGACATATGTAGGAAAAAATGTTGCAGAGTGGAGGCAGCGGTTTCTGGTCAATTCACATTACCGTCCTCCATGCGTTTTTTGATAGGAAAACTCATGGCAATTAACTGCACTTGGTGCCAACAAAATACGCTTTCTGGCATTCAATGAAGTCTTCAAATCTGACTGACTGACCTAATCTATAAGCCATACTTAGGACTCCCGAAGTTCAACTGGCCTTTCTCAGCCATATTTCCATTAAAATCCATCAGATAATATTGATGCTAAACCATCAGTATTTCAAGAAGAAAGCAGAGCAAAAAAAGCTTCATTTCATAATTGTGATTTTAGCTGTACTACAGATGAAAGCACTGTACAGCGTAGGTACATCTGTCAGTTTAAGTACAACTCGGTGAAATTATTATGAATACTGGATATTAGTCTCTGGGGTGAAATCCTACTAAGTCATTTGGAAGATCTGGCAAAACCCAAGCCCTTTAAAAACAGAAACAAACAAAAAAACCCCTTCAGAACTGCATTTACAGATACTGAGGAATATTTGTAGCTTCTATCTAAAAAAGTAAAGTAACTTTTCTGACTGTAGCCGAAGAAATTAATTCCTATTTTCACTTTCTTTGCTTAGCCCTTTTTTTGTCTTCTCCAAAGCCTAAACGTTTCTGGAATCAGGGTTGTACTGCCTTAGTCCCATTGGTCCATCCTGAACTCCCAAGCATTTCTCTCAGCTGCCTGCCTGTCCTGCCTTGCCCAAAGCAGGGACAGGTTCATGTCTGCAACCGCAGTTACAAAGAGAGTGATACAGTAATATATTTACTTCATATTACAGATTATTTCCAATCATGTTTAGAAAGGACAGGTCCTCCATGTGTCTGACTGCAGAATGTCCACTGATCAGCTAGGGAACAGCTGTTATGAAATCAACTGTAACTTGTGGCAAAGATGATGACCGCAGCACTCACTTTGCTTCCTCTCAGTTATCCTATTTTACCAGCCTTCCTCCTGTGAAGTACTGATTTTCAAATTCAGAGAACAGCACAATATAGAAGACTGACACTGAATGAAGTGCCCAACTTGACCTTTGTTTTTAAGGACGTAAAACATAACAGCACAAAGCTGTAAGCATATGCCTCATTGGCTGACTACCCTGAGGAAAACTGATGTACATTGGTAAAAAACCAAACCAAAACAAAAACCCCCCAAAACCCACAGCTCCAGAGCACACGACTTTTTTGTCCGTTAACCATTTAAACACAGAACATGGATTTTCTGAAATGACTCTTCATCTCATGGAGCTTTCATCTCCATCTTCATTTAAAAAACCTGAAAATACTATCAATGTATCAATGCTGAGAGCTTACCAAAGTATGCACATCTCCTTCAATGGCAGTTACATCCCTTCGACTGACACGATGATCGCGATTATCTTCCCTGCTAAGTGTTTCATTCTTATCATCATCTTTAGAAGCAGAAATCTAGGATACACCAAAGAAACCCAAATAATAAATAATTCTTACATTTAGATATTTACAGACTTCAAAGTTAAAGTCAAGAAAATATCTAACTGATAGGGTTATTCTCTTTCTATCCCAGCTATTCTTCAGAACCTGGCTTTACCTACAGCTGTAACCAAAATGTTACTCCTGCCTTTTCTAGATCATTGATGCAAATTTCTACTAAGAAGTAACACAGAGCCTTGAGTATCTTAATTCTTCTTCAACTTAAAACTTTTTCTTGTATAGGAAAAAAATACTCTTAGACTGCAATAAATAATTCCATTTTGCAATCTTTTGTTAAAGTTCCTCAACATTTCAGTATTTAACTCTGAAAAAATAGCACTAGTATGGTATTGATGTACCACGTACCACTGTACTTGTGTACACACGTCCAGACATACATAAAAACTTTTTCAGGAGGGGCTTGAAAAAGTATACAGTAGGTTTAATAAATTATTTCAGTAATCCCTTAGAAATTCCCAATGTAAAATTGCAAATTTACATTTGGGACTAGGCAGAGCCATCCATCTGTCCTCTGCATAACAAATTTATATTAGAAAACTTACAATAGAGGTGTAAAAAATGTATTATTACAAATGGTATAGCAAAAGCACAGGAAATTTGGATTTATATGCTGACTTAAGTTGCTTTCCGATTGTCAAAGATACATGAGGATTCTTCGTTGTTCTACACATTGAATATCTTCCCTTAGTCTTTTTATACATACGTTTGCTTAAATTCTTCTAGAACTAATATACTGATTTTTACTACTTGTTTTAAATTGTCTTAGAATTCAGCTCTCTACTTTCAATCAAATTTTCTGGGTTTTATCTGGTGTTTCTTTGCCTAGTCCAACCTAGGAAAAAGGAGTTTCTTCTGCTCTGTGCTCTGCAAATTGCATGGTTTGCTGGCAGTGATAGGATACTTTTAAGCCCCACTGAAACACCCCTGTTGACCTCTGTGGCATTTGGATGAGGGTCTAGATAAATAAGCTAGTAACAGAAAAAACAGTGTCATTCTCTTCCAAGAAGTAAAACCCAGAAAATTTACATAAACAGCCCAGAAGCATCTGGAATGTTTTTGTTCATCACCACACCCAATATAATACCATTGCTTTGGACTTACTATCAAACAGTGCAGTCTTGTTCCTCAGCAACAGATGAAAACTTAACTCAGACAGTGTTAGATATTCTCAGGGATTTGGGTATTTTGAGTGTGTTTCCAAAACACACACACACACTCTATTCCACTCAAACGAAAGGAAAGTCCTGCTTACCTTAATTTTCAATGGATTGATTTCCATATCAGAAGTGCAGTTCATGGGACCATCAATTTCATACTGAACAATATACAACAGTGTATAGTTTTTGTATTTGTAAGGCCACTGTAGAGTCATCATCACCTTGCTGAATGCACTTGGACCATTGTTTCTCAGCTGATTATGAAAATAAAGTTAACAGATGTAAAAACACACCAATGCCGCCTTCTTTGTTAATGTGCCTATAGTTGTTATTTTATATTTGAGCCATAAAAGATACTGCCACTACCACTACCCCTACCCCTACCCACTTATGGCAATAGCATCAACAACTTTACCTAAAAATGGCAGCTAAACTTCAGTCCCCCAACAGGCAAAACTTAAAATTACTTCCGTGATTTGATAAAAATTACTTTGAAGAAAAGCTATGTAACATTAGGTTTTTTGCCTTGAAGAAATGTAGTTTTTTTCCTTGGAAAAAAAAGTATTTTTTGTAGTCTATTGCATGAACCAGAACCACTGTACGTGTCAGCCAAGATACTCTGACCACAGATAGATACAGCCGTAAGTTTCATTTGATAAACGATCTCTTAAGTTCTAAAACAACTTTTAACTATTCTTATTCACACAGCGCGCTCAGTAAGTTTTGTTTAATTAAACAATCTAGATTAAAGCTGTGATCTTTCTTTTAAGGAAATTTTAAACACTTAAAATTTTTCAAGGCAAAAGACTTTACAGTAATGATTCAGAACAGCTGGAATACAAATGAGGATACTGAATAATTTACCGCCATGAGTAATTTTCTGAGTTCAAGTTACTCCAAATGTTTTATCTAGATTTCAAAGGGCTAGAAAATAAAATACGTGTAATGGATGGGAAAAAAAAAAATAAAAATAAAAATAAATCAGTCTTTTGTATCTGGCTGCTCCTGTTACACTAATTGCAGACATTCCAACCCTTCTTGCAGATATCGGTTATTGACCCAGCATTAAAAAAATAAAATCTTTGTTTCCATGCAAAAACAAAATGAAGAAAAAAATTATAATTTACTCCAGAGAAAAACCACACCAGACACTTCTTTTCATTTATCAAGAACTGTGTAATTGAAATTAGTAAGAATTGCATACCTCATAGATATGCTGAACTAGAGGCCCAATATCATCTTCCGTTTCTGGATTCTCCTTTGGCTGCCAATTTGCAATAGGAAGGAATATGTGATCAGGAGATGACACACTAAACAGCAGAGCAAACAAGTCATTATTATGAAGTATGAAACAGTAAATGTAATTCTCTAGAACATCTCCAAAAAAGCAACACACTTAAAATACAATCTCCAGTTTTTTATCTTCTGTATATAAAAACACAAAGAACAGAGGTTGAGTGGCTTGTATATTAAACTTTTAGTCTTCTTCTCTACATGAAAAGGTGAACCTTGTACTTAGGAACAATTTTTTCCTGTCCTAAACTTTGGATTCATCCTACAACACCTAGCAAACCATTAATAGAATTAAGATACATACATGTCATCAAAAAACCACAAAGTGTAAAATACTTCCATAACGAGAAATATTGATGATGTAAATACTTATCAGTATAGTCATAAGAATAATTCATCATGCACTGAAAACAGTGAAGCTAGCAACAATGCTTTTTTCAGTTGTGCTATCCCCCCACCGCTCAGATATTAACAAAATTAGATCACAGTAATAAATGTGGTGGAAATTTTAAAAAATTATGACTCAGGAGTCTGAGTTCACTGGCTAAGCAAGAGGACTCTATATCTTTTAGGTGTGAAGTACAGATTTCTGGTAAGCAGAAGTAACGGAGGTAATGGAATCATTATTAATTATTAATACTATGCTTAAGACTGAAGAAGGCGAGAGCGTTGCAAACTTTTGTTAAAAAGGATTTTCAACTTTGGTTTTAGAAAAGGTTTCAGCAGTTTTCGGATGAAAAGCCAGTCAGTTTGTGGAGGAGGAAAGTGACCTGGGGAAGTGTGTGCAACTGCAAAAATGAGGGGTGAGGGTTTTTTCTTTCTTCTTCTTAAAAAAACCCAAAAACACTCTAGTAATAGAGGCACAACATTCCTTTTTGGAATTCATGTTGTAATTATTTAGAATTATTTACAATCTGAAAGTCCAAAGGGTAGCTAGAGAGAACCCTATTTTCTTTATGATTAAAAATTCCCTAAGGCTTCCTGAAAACTTATGCAGACCTGAAAGAAAGTTCATTGAATATAAAGAAGCAAACATGCAACGCTCATTTGAGAAAGACATTTATTAAAATAGTATCAATGCTTACCCTCTAATTTCAACAGCTGCTAAAATAGCAAGGTCAGCCTGATAGAATGCTACTGGACTTAAATTGTCATACAGGTTGGAACTGCAGAGAAAACAGAAGTTAATTTCTTAAATGAATAAGCTAAGTATTTAGGAAAAAAAAAAAACAACACACACACAAACTTAGAGTAATTGTATGTAACATCATAACGTGACTCCTGAGCCACTGTAGGAAAGCACAATTACTAAAAACTAAGGAGCAGATTCCAGCACGTTCTCACTTAAACGCATGATAGTCCCCACCCTCAGCACAGTGTGGAGGTCCTTCAGCAGGGAGAGATCGATAATGGACACAAAGCTAATGCTGACTCTGTTCCTTAGCTGCCACACATAAGAAAATTCAAATGCTAGTGCTATGGGGTAACATCAACTATTTAGCTAGCAGAGCCTAAAGTTCCATTTTGGGACATCTGTTTTGCTCAGAGACTTCTTGGCCTCAAACTAGTCCCAGAACAGAAAAGTATGCTAGGGCTGGGCTACTTTTGCTTACCCCTCTTCACAGTGTTTAAACCAGTAATGCATACAGTTAGCATCCGACTCCTGCACTTCAGATACACCAAGAGATGACAGATATTAAGGCATGTAGAGTCATTCATACTAAAATTTCTCTAGACTTTCTTTGTAAACAGAGACAAAGAAATACAGAGAAAACTCTTATTCCCGTCAAAGTGGAGCTGGGAACAGAATCCTGATCTCCTTAGACACATCTGATGATTCTGTCTACCTAACCAATTTGCTTTAGAAAGATCTTAAATCCTCTAATTATTCTTCAGTACTGCTGTAATCAAAAAATACATGCAATGGTGTTTTCTTCCCAACTTGTAAATACCTCATTCTTTCAGAGACTAGAGTTGTTCTGCTAGGAATTGTGCCAGCTTACAAATCTAGCCTCGTGAGTTTAAGGCAACTAATGTGATCTCTAAAAACCTCTTCAAGATAATACCTTGATAATGCCTGTCACTATGAACTGCAATTACCATGTTCGATTGCATCACTGTTCTTGCATTCAGAAGTCATGTAAAGAAATTCCTTCCATAAAAGGTGTAAAATGTTAGAGGAACTTCCTTTCTCTTCCATCGGAAGACAAGCATGACTTAAGCAACCTCACTGTTTTTTTCTCCCAGTGAAAGGTAGGTAGTGACCGCTGTTAGCCTAAGAGTGACAACAGACACCCCAGAGAAGATCGCTTTCTGCAAAGAAGAACTGGAGTCACATGCCACTGGCAAGCTTACTAGCTGATGGAGAAGAGGGGAAAAAATTGAACAGACAGCAATGTGAGATCAAAGAGATATTTAATGCTGCCAAGGACTTTGATCAGTACGGCAAACCACTGTATCATTAAAATAGAATAGCAGGTTTAAACTTATTTAACTCTTGTAGATGGAAAATGCATATGTAGATGAGAATAATTTATTCACCGCATTTAAAAAAAAATGAAGCCCTTAAATGGGAAAAAAAGCTTTTGGTTCACCATGGGGGGAAAAAAAAAAGCAGCTGTATTTATACCATCCATTAAAGATAAAACTGTTTTGGGTAAAGAGATTCCTCTTGATCACATCTCCAAATCTTAAATATCATCTGCAGTAGGTATAAATTCAGATTTATATAACATATTTATATGAAAGTGCTGTGCTCATCATTAACAGGAACACTACTGTTTTGTTTCATTTAGTTTTTAGACTCTCTCATGCTGGCTACTGTAAAACGGTTCACTGCATGTTGCCTCTGCTCAGACCATCACAGGCATTGCCTTTTCTGAAAGACTTATACCTCTCATCCTCAAAACACATAAAAATTTACATTCTGGCTTTACATCAGAAGGAATTCAGAATTCAAACATCAGTTTTAAAAGAGGGCTAGAAACCCAAAGACACAAGTCATTCTGTGACACTACACAAGTGCCAGGAGATCACAATGGTACGCAGGTACAAAAATACAAAATTTTTCTTGGAACACTTTAAATGGTTTTGTTCCTTATTATTAATATTTCACTTGTGCCATGGCCTGTCTAAAAGCTGTAAGCAAAAGAAACTGCATTCAAACAGAAAACTGTTTTTTTATAGTTTCTCCTCTATTTTAGAAAACAGAATTCACTAAAAAGATGTGTTTATTTTTTCAACAACTATGAGGCAAAGACCAGAGAATTAGTCCAGAGTGAAACTAACTGCTTAGCTCACAGTCTGTTTACTTAGCGTGTTTTCTACCAGGTGATGTATGTACTCATAGATTTCCATACCTTCGGATTTGCAAGTCAAACTTCACAGAGGTATCCATTTCAGACTGCTGGTGCACGCTGAATCGCAGGCCAGCTAAAAGCTTTAAAAAAAAAAAAATTCACTGTGGTTCAGTGGAAGCACAGTAAAATACACAATAAAAGTTTTTCAATACTGTTCTGCTACAATAAAATGGCTTGAGGCTTGTGGTCATAAGAGAACACACACAGAGAACTGGCAAATAAAACTTGTCCAGTTCATCAAGACTAGAAATGTACTGTGCTCTCTGTAGATTTTGGCCAATGCATCACTGCCACAAAATAGAAATGTGAGGTTTCCATCATGCTGACCCTCCTTGCTTCAGCCATTTTTACACATAACTGAGCCTCACGGTGTGTTGCAAAAAGACCACGGCATACTTTAATGATGCTAAATTCAGTTCCCAGGGTTTGTTTTAAGTCGGTCCATGATAGTTGCTTCAACATCTGTACAGTTCAGCTTGATATAGTTTGAAAGGCTTTGGAAATAGCATTTACTTATCTATACAAAATGTCTCTTGGAAGAAAAGCACCATCAAAATGTTTATAATTGTGACTGATTTTCACTTTTTTTCCTCAGAAAATAAGACTTCTTATGTCCTATCATCTTAATATCTGCCAGGTCCCACTAATAGTTTTTTAATTCTTCCAATTTCAGCTACATTTGGTGGAAGTGCAGAGGTTTCAACTAGACAAAACACTCAAACTTCACAAAAACTAGGCAGAAGAGAGAAGTACTATTAGGTTTCCACTAAGAGAAAGGTGTGTTACGAGCTAACTCTTCATTATATACTGAAAAATACTTATCAGATAAATCTAAAGACAAACTTATGAAGGACCAGAGTTCATTAATTCCACTGTTTAACGAACTACTCCTTTTGAATTGCATCATAAAACTCGTGAACACTCCTCTCAGCCTTTAATTTAGCTGAAAAGTTCAAACCAATTACAACTAAACTAACCAAACATGTCGGCAGCTACATGTCAGCTAGATCTCATCTTAAATTCCTGTGAGTAAACACTCTCCCCAAACACTACTGTGATGAAGAAAAACGCCAGCTGCACTCCTGTTTGAGCTACCAGACACCTGCTGGACCAAACCTTACCTTAGTTCCTGCTTTCATGGGATTTCCCAGGTCACAAACTACCATGCGAGTTTGATTCTCTGTTTTAAACGCACATGATAGTCTTGCTAAAGCCTGCAATAAACCAGAAAGAAATATTAAGGAATGTCATTCTTTACACCTGGACACATGGATGAAAGTCTGGAGAAAAGTACTAGATATGCTGTTTTAATTTTAATATACTTTCTCAGTCCTAACACAGTCAAGCACTAAAATGAAATAAAATCTGAGTATGAAAGTCTCCACAGAGACAGGTATTTTTGATACAGGATATATGCTCTTTCCAAGGTTATAAAGAGAGAAATTCAATACTCTTACATTGGGTAGCACTGGTGATTTTTGTGACCTAAAGCATTTCTTTACGTGATTCTTTAAAACGTATGTGAAAGAACTTTGGCACTCAGGCAAACTCTCCATAGGAAAATAAAGATTGGAAGGCAAAATAACATGAATACTTACTAGCTTATTCAAAAAGAGGTCTTAGGGGAGCTATCAGATTTTGGATAAAGTCACATCACAAAGCTCTAAAGTAGCAGAGGCAAACTGGAGAACCAAACCAAAGCATGGTCCAACATATATGAAGGATGTGGTATCACAAGTTGGAATCCTTTGATATAGGGGGAAAATAGTTTTCCCTTAACATTCTGCAACTTTACAGATACATTCATTGATCACAGATTACACCAAATGAAAACAAGGATGAAGAAAATCTGGAAGTGTATTACTTAGACATAGCTATAATGGGCTAAACCAAAATTTGGACCATACCCATGTGTCCTCAAAGAAACAGAAGTCATAAAGACATTTTTTTAATACAAGGGAAAGTCAGAAAATAAATTTTAATATTCAGTGTAGTCAGGACAACAGACACTGAAGACTTTCTACGTGCTTAGGTGGAAAAGAAGAGTAATACCCAACATCACTTTTTGCCTCACAGGTGCCCAGCTCTTTACCTAGCACATGACATGCTAAGTCTAAATTTAAGTAAGTTAACAAGGGCACTGTTCAAATAAAGACTTGTAGCAGATAAATTCTGTGTGTCAAGCTCCATCACATAGATGACTCTCCTTTGTTGCTACCAGTAGGCTCTTCAACAGGAACCATCCAGCCAGGTGTTACATAGCCTTAGGGCTTGGAAGAACCTTACCATTTTTTCAGTGCTTTGCTTTAAGACTGAAGCATAAAAAACACTACTGACAGACCCTTTCCCACAGACTTCCATAGCAGCACCTGACATATGACTAGTTAAAGAAGAAAGGGAGTTAAAATTTTACCTCGTTGTTACGAACAACACCGATGAAATCTGCTTGGGGCGGTACGATGACAAAGAGTTCTGCTTCATAGGCTCCTTCCCCTTGATTCTGAGCACTGACTATTAGTGTCAAGGGATTGTCATCACCAATATAGATCTGCTTCTGATCACTACAAAAAACAAGTGTAAAAATGAGCTCTGCATTCAGGTTTTAAAGTGTACCGAACTGGCTGAACTTATAGAAACAACAGGCATTCTGAAATTGCACAGGCATTATAGCAATCTAGTGGCAGTACCTACACTTCGGGAATATCAGGAGAGCTCTATGCTATGTTTAAAAAACCCAACGGGTCTATAATCACAAAAATGGAGCAAATACCATGTGCTGTTTTGTAAGAAACTTTTTTATAAAATTTTACAATAAACCACAAAACCACCGACACCTCTCTTTAACAAAAGACGATCAATTACAAACAGCTAAATCACTTGTGTACATTTTGAATTGCATGCCTGCTTAACAGAGGTATAAGCATGCATTTGTAACAAAACTTGAGGGAAGGCTCAACTACACAATATAGCCAAGACCTCTGTAATACATTTGTTCCAGATACAAAAAGAACATCTTTCCCAACAATGTATTTTCATTTCACCAACTACAAGGAAACTTAACTGTACCTACACTGATGTAAAATGTTTCTGAAGCATTTGCATGAATTAGTATGTTTGTGAACTGTACTACCTACGTACATGTGCATATGCTATAGCTCCGCACTAAAGGCATAAAAAAAAACTCAGATGACACTTATGAGTAGAGATAATACACTTGAGAATGGCTTTTGAGCATATAAAGCACAAAAAGCCCAGACTCATGAAAGAATTCCGAGTTAAAATTTGTTTCTTTTTCCTAGGTTTAATAAAAGATACTACCAATACCAACAATTTTTTTCATACATGTGACAACAGAGCCCTACTCCACCCCTTGCTGAAAAAAATCACGCCTCTTCACATCTTCATGTGTCTGTCTAGTATTAAGTAACAGAACAGTGGTACAATTACAGCTGACATTGATTTATGCTTGCTATGCATGTCCAGCTTAGCAAATATACAGATAAATATTGTGTACTTATAGTAAGGGCCAGGGTGACGGTGGTGGTGTGTGCTCTGCCTGTATTACATACTAAAGACATTAGGTTATAAGGCAGAAAATGGGTTTTCTTTAACACAAATAAGCATGAGTTTAGATTGAATATTTTGAGGAGTCCTACTTATTTCAATACATCCTTTTAACAAAGGTATTATAAGCTCTTGAAATTTAGAATTCAAGTAGGGAAGTTACTTTTCCTGTAGTATTTTTCTCCTGTATTTACCTTTCTACTGAAACCTCCAGCTTTGGTTTGCAGACATTATCATCACCACAATCCAGCAGAATATGCGCCTATACAAAAACCAAAGGCATATTGTTGTAGTAATTCCTGCATCTGTTCTAACATACATTTCCAATAATACTGTTTCACCACCAAATCAAAAAATTCTAAATAGCTGGTTATGAGATATCTTCATCTCGTTAGTCTCAGAAGAGAACAAATGTGTTTTTATACATGGGAGACACTGTGCCTCATCCTGTAATTCTAGGACTGATGTCTACAATTTTAATCCTCTTTCTATACCTTGAATTATCTGTTCATCTTGAGTTGCATCTCCACTATCCTCTTTACAAATAAGTGTAAAAAATTGTATAAAGGGCAGAAATAGAAAAACTATGTTTATTACCTTAAGAGAACTATAGGGATAAACATGATATACATAGAGCAACATAGTATGAGCCATGGACAAAACACTCCAATCCTTCAAGATTAACACCTTCAGTACATGATATACATAGAGCAACATAGTATGAGCAATGGACAAAACACTCCAGTCCTTCAAGATTAACACCTTCAGTAGTACTCTAACTGCTTTTCTCCAGAAAGCTGTTAATTAGTATTCATGAAAAGGAAGTCCAGCACTAAGAAATGACATGTCAAAAAAGAAATTTGACACGGAAAGAAGGGAAGAAAGAGAAGACAAATATACCATAACCATCAATATTTCCATAGTTCAAAAACTAAAGCCTAGATATATATTTTCGTATCTTAATTCTTCAGAAGTCCTAAGATGAACCGAGTATTGAGTAAGTACTGAAAGCGGAAAATATGATCTGGGTTCTCTCATCACAGATTGTGTAAGAAGTATACCTGTCTGCTCATGTTAGCAGGAGTGAACTGGTTGAGGATAGGGTGCAATCCTGTTGCATCTGCAGCTGTTCTGTAATCCAAACGATATTCCATAAAAATAGTAATGGGAGTTAATTTGTCTCTAAATTCAGATTCATCCTGAAGAAACCAGAGATTTGAATTACAATTAAAACATGAAGAAAACAACAACAAAAATATCCTTCAAAAGTCTCTACAGGCAACAATAATCCCAAGAGCAATACTAAGCAGTATTTTTATTTATTGTTCATGTTGTAGTAGGAATGAGGCAGCCAAAACAACATTAAAACTTCTGAGCTCTTTTCAAACTAGAAAATCTCGTCTGAAATCCTGCAGTGTAAACTTTGAAGATGGACAATTTTAGCAGTAACACACCTGTTTTACCAAGGGAAAACCGAAGCCCACAGAAGTATTAAGACATAGAACTATAATAGCAAGGAGCCTCAAGGGCTATATACAATTCCAGTCTTTCCTGTTGGACAAAATTCAGTATGCTTCTGAAATCCCTCATAGCTATTCATCTTTGGACACATGATTTTTACTTCCTAAAATCATTACTTTGCACTTGGGAGTTGCTGACTTTCATATTGTTCATTTCAAATCACTCTGTTTATCAAATGTTGATCCTGCCTTTCAGAGTACTTACAAACCATCTCTTAGCTTTACATTAACCACAGATTTTATCAGTGTAAACTCTGCTTCATTATTGTCATTTGTGAGAATAATAAAAATTACTGACTCTAGAACAGCTCGCTGCAGTATCTTACTTCAGAAACTATCTTCTATGGGCAGAAACCTATTGATAACTTACAGTTTTCAATGGGTTCTGCATCCAGTTTAAGGTAATTTCATATAGGTCACATGTCATTACTTATTTTATGAGAATGTTGGATGGAAAAGTGTTAAAGCTTTACTAACACTGAGATCCGGGATGTCTATTTCCACATATATCCCACTCACAAGGCCAATGAAAAGTATTACCTATCCTCTATGAATCCTTAATGATTACCAGTATTTTTATTGAGTTGAGGGTTTTTTTTTGGAGAGGGGAGTAAGTATTGTTTATGTATGATTTATAAGTACTCAGAGATAAATCTGAGCTCCATCTAACTTACATAGCTACTCTTTCACATGTCTTTCCTTACTTCAGCCAGTGTTTCTTCCACTGAGTTACACTTTTTAATTGTGTTAGCATCTGTCCACATTTGTGGGGACTAAAACAAAAAGACTGAGAAAAAGCAAACTTAGTATTTCAACCTTATCTGTGTCCTCTTGCTTACTGATCTTTGCTTTTTAGTTGCAGATCCATATTTTTCTTTATTCTTTTACCTCCAAAGTAGAAGCACCACCTCTGTTTATTGACTTTCATGTTCCTTGGAAATTATAACTAATTTTGTGCATAGATGACTTGTCCAAGAAGTCCATAACAAAGTTCAGAATTTAATTTCCAATCCATTTAGTGACCAGCACCTTAGTCACAATAATATCCATCATTCATTCTCTAACAGCAGCGATAACCCAGGAACAGACATATGGTTTTAGTAATTTTAGGTCTATCCATTAGGCA